CCTGTAATTTTACAGACGGTACAGATAGCAGTACAATACATATGTACATTACATTGGGGGGGTTAAAAATTGACATCTGACATACCGTCTCCGTTCTTTTTGTTATTTCCATAAGTGTACGAGCTGGAGCCCACTGAGGGCTTTTTCCAACCCCGCCAGTTGTTGCACACGCTTTCAGGTTCAGAGCTCCAGCTACACAAGGAGTCCTCCTCAAAACGGTCCGAGTCCTCAAAACTAAATCTGTCACCCTCCTCCCAGTCCAACATAGCGGCCGCGACATCGCCGCCCCCACCGTCACCCCCGGAAATGTTCCCGGTGCCCGCCACCTTCAAACAAAGAGGTTGCCTTTAGGCAACGAACGCACCTTGACCCGCAGCTGGGGGTCACAACTGAACCTTCACCCCTGCAACCCAACTCAATCACTACACTTCTGTACTGCTACTATACCAAACAATGTCCCCCGAACGAATCGCTTCCAAATTGTAAGAAAATGTCACGTAAGCATTGCAACAAACGATTTTTCATTTATAGAAAACTAAACAAAACAAAGGACACGATCCGTCCGACTCTCGGCCTCCCCCATAGACGACGACAACAACAAATATGGCGAACAGAACCGTCCCCAAACTCCACACTCCACTGAAAATTGACCGAACATCTGATTGTCTTTGTTACAACAAGTACATTAGAACTTAGCAGAGGGCGCACGTACTAGAAACCTTTAGTTTGATAATTGGAAATCTATATACTACTACCACTGAAAATACAGATGGCGCATCACGTTTACTACATTTTTGCAACGCTGCCAATATTAACATTTCACCACTAAATTAACATATCATACATCAAGAAATAAATGCGAGAAGCCGATCATAAAACTTGGATTACAATACTTTATTAGTTCTACAAAATATTCATTAGTAGTAAGGAAGAAAACTTTCTAACAGCTGTGAATAGAATGGTTACTTAATATTAAACTTTAATTAGTTAAATATTTCATACATTATTAAGAATATAATAATTTCAAAAATAAGACTATCAGAACCTAATAACCTAACACTGATATAGGCAAAGCTTTTTATACACATAATGCATAATGAGCATAACAAATTGAAACACTTGGCACCGTTGTAATAATAATAATCGTCCTGTCATTTCGTCCATTTTCTGAGTGGTAGGTTAACTTATTAAAAATAAAGCATATTTTAAGATAATTTGGATTTGTTAATTAAAAAATATCTGCAGAAAATAATATTGTGTTTAGTGTTCTATCTGATTAGTTAATTTAATTTATAAATTGCAACTAAAATGTGCCGATTTCAATAGATAAAATACATGTGAAAACGACATTTGATGTGTTGGTGATCTATTGTAAAACAATATTTATTCCAATTTTTAGAAAACATGGCCCCAAGAAAAGGTAAAGTTCAAAAAGAAGAGGTACAAGTATCTCTGGGTCCTCAAGTCAGAGAGGGTGAAGTTGTTTTTGGTGTAGCACATATTTTTGCAAGTTTCAACGACACATTCGTACATGTAACCGACTTATCAGGAAGGGAAACAATTTCTCGAGTTACAGGAGGTATGAAAGTCAAAGCCGACAGGGATGAAGCTTCCCCCTATGCAGCTATGTTGGCTGCTCAAGTACGTACAGCAGACTTGATTATTAGATTTATAGTTTGGTGTATTTTTGAGTGGAATAATGAAGTAGATATACAAAATATTGACTGACCTTTTCAATTACTCAGTTTGAGTTGATAAATTTCTTAAAGCTTGAAAATTTGTAAAATGTAAATGCTAAGCAGTATAAACCAATATGTAAGNCAACTCGACAAGAAATCGTCATTTAACAACAGTTGCGACTTCTTTTTTGTTTGAAGATGTCAAAAATTTGTAGCTTTTAAAACCCAAGCAACTTTCAGAGCTTTTAAATACCCATAAACCTATGCAATACCCAGAGCTTATTTGAGTAAAGTAAAAAATAAACCACAAATGACAGCATGCGGATACAAAACATTGCTATCCTATTCCATAATATTTATAACACCAGAAATTCTTGTGTCTATACGAGAGGGCGTTTTTATTGTCGTGGAATGGGGGGTAAAAATTTATTTTTCTTTTTCAATATATTCACCTAATATACTTATACATTTTCCCGATCTTTCAATTACCTTACGTATACCTTCGAAAAAAAATGTTTTGTCTTTGCCTGAAAAATACGCCGAAAGCGCATCCTTCACTCCTTCGTAGCTTGAAAATTTCTTCCCACGAAGACTTTTTTCAAGTTTGAAAATAGGTAATAATCGCTGGGAGCTAGGTCAGAACTGTAGGGTGAATGAGCCAAAATTTCGAAGCCCACCTACTGCAGGGCAGCCATCGCAACACGACTCTTGTGAACAGACCTCAGAAGGAGGACACCTTTGGTCAATTTTCCTCTTCTGTTTTCTTTGACTGCTTCCTTTAACCGCTCCAAGATTGAAGCATAGTATTCTCCAGTTATGGAGACACTTTTATCTTTATAATCGATCAACACGATCCCTTCTGAGTCCCAAAGGACCGTCGCCATGATTTTCTCAGACGACTGTGACATATTAAACTTCTTGGGTGGTGGTGTGCCACTGCATAGAGTCCTGTTTGGACCCAGGTTCATCATTATGAACCCAAATAACTATTCGAGTCAATACGCCACCTTTATCTTCTAAAGGTCCAAAAACGCGCGAGAACACTCCATACGCTGCTGTTTTTGAGGTGGAGTCAGCATTCTCCGCACTCATCTTGTGCTCACTTTAGTCATGCCAAAATGATCGTGAAGAATTTTAAAAATGGTTGTATCTGATACTTCTACCATTTCTGCGAGCTGTTCTTCTTAAGCCGATCATCTTTCAGTATTAATATTTCGACTTCTTGAATGATTTCCGCAGTGGTCACCTCGATCGGCCAGCCTGGCAGTGGATCGTCTTCAAGTGAGTCCCTGCCTCGCCCAAAGAGGGTATGCCACTTGTAAACCATAGTTTTACCTGGGCAAGAGTCCCCGTAAACGGATGGCATCTCTTCCAGTATGATTTGAATTGATTTTCCTTGCTTGGTAAGGAAGTTTATAATAGCGCGGTACTCGCTTTTATCCACATTTCATAATTTGTTCCAGATTGACTTGTTTGGTCGTCGATAGTTCAAAGAGAACAAACCTAATTACGATAAAACTTGGTCCCATCTAAAATCATGAGCACTTTCTCCAAACTCTTCCGAACAAAGTAAAAGATACGAATGTTTGTAACGTATTTATCGCAATTGTTAGCATTGTTCCACTGTTGTATTAAGAAATTAACAGAACCCCTGTGACCTCATGTCCTTTACTATCCTAAATTTGCGACATACATATGTGCCTATACCTATTATCTATATTAGCAAGTTAAATAATATAATCCAATGCAAATATTTGAGCGGCGCGTTGACGGAGAAGCCTCACAAGCCACACACAAATTTTAACAGAAAAACTTTGATTATTTTAACCGAAAGACCAAGTCATTGACCCCAAAATCAAAATACAAACGATAACTTCGTATTTTATCATGAATCCACTGTATGGTTAGGCAATTTTTATGTCGTCAAATCAAAAGCGTTAAAATTATTTGAAATTTGCTTTTTACCTTTAAGAACAATTGAGCATTTCTCATTAACCAAGCAATTGGAGGTGTAAAATTCTTAAAAAAGGTTTTTTGGACATATACCATGCAGTGATTTTACCGTCGTCAGTCTTAGGACTGGTTGAACACGCATCTCCACTTCTTGCTATCCTGAGCTAATATTCGCATTTCCTTAAAACTAGAATATCCCACATCCTCAACTATTTCTGAACAGTAATCCAATCTAGGTCTACCTCTACTTCTAATATGTCTCTGACTAGACCTTTATGCCTGAGGTGTCCTACCAACCTATCTTTTCTATTTCTTATTGACTTTCATAGAATCCTCTGGTCTCCTTTTCTGTCTAATACCTCTTCATTTCTAACCTTCTCTATCCACGGTTATCTCATCATTCGCCTGTAACACCACATTTCAAATGCTTCTGACATCTTCTATACCCATCGTCTATATTTCGCACCCGTACAGAGCCGCGCTCCAGACGCACACCTTCAACAATCTATTTCAAATTTTTACTCGACCCTACTCTATTCTCTGTTTTGTGTCTCTACTGCTCCTTCCATCCTGACTTATATGACTTCCTAGATACCGGAAATCAGCCACTTTTCTAATTTTTCGTCTTCATATTCTCTCTTTCCCTACTTTTTCTTTCCTTGCATACCAGTATTTTTGTTTTACTTTTACTTATCTTCATACAATACTGTTTTTTCAATACCGCTTACACTTTATTTAAGGCTATTCTAACTCCTTACTGGATGCTAATACTGTCGATTACCAGAAAACAATTATTTCTCACAACTAATGGCATATAATGCTTGTAATAATCCGACCCCCTGAACGGTCACACTTTCGCCACCACTGAATCTACCTTATAATCAAGAAAACAAAACGGGTGACTCAGAAATTATCTAATTATCTGATAAAGTCAGTTATTTTCGAAACGATTAGTAAAGTCGTAAATATCTAACCAAAAAAGTTAAATTATCTTTTATCTTATTTGTTTTAAATGAGGAAATATATGAGTACTTCACAAAAAGCAGCTGTATACAATGTTCACAATAAAAGCACATATTTAAGGAAATCAATTAATTGTTCATGTTAGATCACAGTTTTTCAAAATGGATCATGAAAACCTCTTTGAATTGAATCAGTTTACAAATTTCGTGTATCTATTATATACAAATACGTATTTCATCAAGCAATTTCTGCCTCTGGCGAAAAATGAGCAGCAAAAAAATGGTAATAAAGGTAGAAGAAAATTGAATTGTACAGCAATCAAAAGAATTCCGAACTTTTGTTCATCACGAAACCAAACTAACTAAACGATAAATTAATCGATTCTATTATTTTCGTTCAGTCCAATCTACAACTTGTTGTACCAACATTAAAATAAGATTGTTAATTTGTCCCTATCTAATCCCTAAACAAACAAACGGTCGCTTTTAAAACTTTGCTGGGTGCACTGATTGTTAAGCAATCTTTAAAAAAGTATATCAATATCTACAAAACACTGGAGTTTCATTTTTGAAGACCATTTTTATCTATGATACTCTTTCAGTCAAGAGGTCTTTCTCAAAAAAAAAAAGAAAAGACAAAAATGTAACAATAACCTACACGAATTGAAAACCGAATAGAGAGATATTATATCAATCAATCATCAACGAATGACATCATCTTTTGAAAAATTAGACGTGACATGGAATTAATACAAATCGGTATAGATTAGTAACTGTAATAAATGCAATTTACAGATTACGTTATATTCAAAAGATTTTAAAACTAGTTAGCTTGGAGCAGTTTTTACAGAAGCAGTTGATATTTTTAGGTAGGTTCACGAAAAATAATTCTTCAAGAAAAGAACTTAAAAACAAAAATACTTTACTATTAAACTATGGAGCTTCACAAACCGACAACTGAAAATTAAAACGACCAGCTATGCATTTGTCGTCCGTCAAAGTCGTTCGACCGATTCACCGCGCATCGCTTGCTTGCGCGGTGCAACGGTCAAAACTTCGCGCGGTGCAACGGTCGAGACTTGGCGCGGTGCAACGGTTCAACGTATGCACTGCAACAATCGGCATATTCGAGTACGACAATTTCGAAGGCGAACCGACACATTAATTAAATGTCAATAAAACAGCTTGAAATTTGGCACAGTAAAAATACTCGCGGTATGTGTAATTATTAAACAAAAAAAAGGCCAAGTGCAAGTTTGACTTGCGCGCAAGTGTTTCTCTACTGGCTCCATTCTCTAATATTCATTATTACGCCTAACATTTTTTATAACAATTGTTACAGAGGACGTAAGTCGTAAAAACACAAGAACGGTAATGAGACTGTATGTTATTCATTTTAAATAACATTATTAAGAAATCTAATATCGGTACTTAATATTAACTGTAATTGTCACTTTCCTGGCAGGTAATAATTATACTAGGTACTTATTATGAAATTTTACAATGTTAAACAAGAGAAAGCGTTGTATAATTTATCAGAACAATAATAAAATGAATATAAGTGACTATTTTAATTAGCAACTTGTCGAAAATGTAAACCTTTGTATAAAAACAATAATAAAGCTACTGCAAAAAATAAAGCACACGCCTGTACACGCATGTTTATAGTAGCAACCACAGTAAAATTATAGAACTAGTAAAAAAAAGACATAAACAGGTAAACAATAAGTATAATATGCTAAACTTTTATTTCCTATTTCTATAAAAATGTCTTGGTTCACAAAAACTGTCAATTTCATTTGTGTTTTTAGTAGATAAAAGATATCTGAATAGCACTCATATTCGGACTTGATGGCTACAGTCTAGAACTGATTCTCCTCTTTCGATGTTTCGCCAACATTTCTCTGGCTTTCTCAAGGACCGTAAGGAGGTCGTAATGTCCGTCGCTGCGTTTGTATTGAATACCTTTGCAAAGCGTGTGATAAAAACGACTCCATCAGTATTCTCACCGAAAGAAACTTGCGATTAAACCACAGCCATCAATCCCGAATATCAGATAACGATGACCGTGAAAGGCTTAGCCTTTTGATGAAATCACAATATCACCTTATTATTCTGACATTCTGAATAGAATATGAAAAAGTCTCTTGAAATATAACTAAGGTGTGAGGTATGAGAACTATGAGATTAGCAAAGACCAGATAGTTTTTTTGTAATGAATGCTGCCCCATAGATGAATGTTTTTTTGTGAGACCTACTGTGAGACACACATGTGTTTGCATGTTTTTAATTAGTGTCCTAAGCACGCCCCTGATAATGACGACATGTACGAACGACGACCGTTCTTTAAATATGACAAATTCAAAATATTCTAAAAAATATGTAAATTTTCATTATGAGTAACAAGAATGAATAATAGAATCAATAGCCTTGGTATATGTACCTAGGAAACCTATATAGAAATAGGTATGATTATTAAATGACTTCGCACTAGACTGGGCTATGTTTTTAGCAAATGCTTTCACCAACCTACTTTCTTTTTTAGAATTTAAGCAACTGTTTTGGAGAAATACAAATCGTAAATTTATTCTAGCAATAGCTAAAGGTATTTACAAAAAACTCATAAACTTTATATAAATATCATCATAATTCTCGACAGTCTAGGTTGGTTAACAAAAACTACTTTAATAATCTTTTTTTATATTCAGCTACACTATTAAAGGTTACCAAGTTCTTTCTTTATGACAGAAAGTCCACTTTAATTAAATCCAATCGACTTTTTACTAAGGTAGGTAAGGATGTGATGGACTAATAAATTAAAATATAGTTTTTACATTAGTTTTCTTTTCCATACTAAGCCATACAGACTAACGCTAGTGTAATAAAAGAAACAATGACCTAGAAACGTATTTCTATATAAATTATTTGTTCTTATTATTTTTATCTTTATTTTATGTACTTATTAAAAACTGGAAGAAAATCGGGTCAAAGTAAAGAACGCGTTTCTTTGTTCAATATTTTATGCCTCTACATCTACGTATATACTACAACTAGACAAACATAATAAAAGCACCTCTGTGCCTTTAATTATTCTTAAAGAGAAATGACTAACATTGTTAGTAGATGAGTCTGACGAGTAGGTACATGTAATTAACAATCTTTTACGAAAGCTAATGTATTAGGCACATTAAACATTAAACATCCTAGTTGGAAATTTCAATTAGAAAGTTGTTGGGAATAAGATTAACTGCAGGATAAGCAATTAAAATTAACTCTGGTACCTACTAGGTATCTACCATCATGGCAATACAATCAATGGCCACAGTGAATTCAAAAAACAGATTGGTTCAATAGAAATAGGCTAAATGATCAAATTAATTACAATTGTGGTTTAATCCAAAACCTTTTTCCTAGTATAGTAGAGACAAGCGTCACAACAACTAGGAATTCTATTTTGCTATTAATTAATTAAAAGTAAAAGACCAAGTACTATTCAAACACTGCACTTTTCTATTTCTCAGTTTAAGGGAATGGTGCAGAGAATTCCTGTAATTTTACAGACGGTACAGATAGCAGTACAATACATATGTACATTACATTGGGGGGGTTAAAAATTGACATCTGACATACCGTCTCCGTTCTTTTTGTTATTTCCATAAGTGTACGAGCTGGAGCCCACTGAGGGCTTTTTCCAACCCCGCCAGTTGTTGCACACGCTTTCAGGTTCAGAGCTCCAGCTACACAAGGAGTCCTCCTCAAAACGGTCCGAGTCCTCAAAACTAAATCTGTCACCCTCCTCCCAGTCCAACATAGCGGCCGCGACATCGCCGCCCCCACCGTCACCCCCGGAAATGTTCCCGGTGCCCGCCACCTTCAAACAAAGAGGTTGCCTTTAGGCAACGAACGCACCTTGACCCGCAGCTGGGGGTCACAACTGAACCTTCACCCCTGCAACCCAACTCAATCACTACACTTCTGTACTGCTACTATACCAAACAATGTCCCCCGAACGAATCGCTTCCAAATTGTAAGAAAATGTCACGTAAGCATTGCAACAAACGATTTTTCATTTATAGAAAACTAAACAAAACAAAGGACACGATCCGTCCGACTCTCGGCCTCCCCCATAGACGACGACAACAACAAATATGGCGAACAGAACCGTCCCCAAACTCCACACTCCACTGAAAATTGACCGAACATCTGATTGTCTTTGTTACAACAAGTACATTAGAACTTAGCAGAGGGCGCACGTACTAGAAACCTTTAGTTTGATAATTGGAAATCTATATACTACTACCACTGAAAATACAGATGGCGCATCACGTTTACTACATTTTTGCAACGCTGCCAATATTAACATTTCACCACTAAATTAACATATCATACATCAAGAAATAAATGCGAGAAGCCGATCATAAAACTTGGATTACAATACTTTATTAGTTCTACAAAATATTCATTAGTAGTAAGGAAGAAAACTTTCTAACAGCTGTGAATAGAATGGTTNTTGATGGAAGTCAGTGCTTGAACTAACTGTAATGTTTAATTAGAGAAGTAGTTTCTTCAGAGATGAAATTATGAAACATTTTTTTAAAAAAGAGAATATCGTTTAATGTATTAAACATCTAAGAAGAACTATACATACAATTTTGATTATTTGTTAGTCCTTTATCAAGAGCAAGACTTAGACAGAAACACTGATAAAGGATTAACTATCCAAAACATAGTTCCCATTAAACCTTTAAATCATTAAAAGGTGCTTGTCTTTTAACTAATAAAATAAAGTATTATGCACTTTGAACGAATGATTAAAAACAACACCTGCAAATATGGTGTAGATTCACTTTTTTCCATTATAATTTCAGCTGGCTTATTCTCATAGATTTTATAGGTTTCAATGATTTTACCAGCTTCTTCAGCACTCCACGCTAATACTAAGGTCATATCAGCCAATATACAAATTCTAGTTAAATGTTTCAAGGGGTGATATGGATCTTTTACATCTACCTTAAAAACCAATAGAAAGGTAATTCAAATAACAGAAACAATTCCATACATACTTGAACTAGTAATACACGTAACTCATACATTTTTTTTAACTGTTTAAGTCTTTCATGTATATAGTCTGGGTTCAAGTTGTGATACCTAAGTGACAAAAATAGGGCACACACTGTCCTACCCATTTGATAGTCTGGTACAATATCTTCATACTCCCAAGGAACATTGGTAATGGCTTTAAGCAAAGGATTGCCTTTCTGTTTTGGATTAACCAGAAGACAGTATGTTTTACTGGATGTTTTAGCAGTTCTTAAAGCGTCATTAGACAATTTGGAACCTAAGGGATAATTTTTAAGATTCTATGCCAATCATGTACCTTATTTATATTACTGCTGGCAACATCAGCGTTTGTCTCATCAAATTCGGTATCAAACTCACTGGCAATCGCACTAAGTGTATCATCCATTATTTTGAGTTATTATAATTACAAATTATTACAATTAAAAATTAATCCTGTTGTTGATTGATCCTGTTTATTTATTTTTCAAATTTTTCAAGGTGATTAAATTTGTAACATTTGTAAGGATAAACCGGATAAACCAATAGACGACCATAGACCGTAGATAAGAACCATAGACAGGTTAAAACAGATATTAAAATTATAAAATTAACCAATCAGGAAAGAGAAGAAATAAAATGACTCTGTAAATACCCTTTGTGTATTTATTATCTATGATCTGAAGTAAATAAGTGAATATAGGTTAGGCAAGTGTCAAAAAACTAATTTTAAGAGGTAATTTATTAAAATTGTGAATAATGTCCAACTATATTACTGGACCAGATGTTGTTAAATATGCCTGTTCCTGCGGTCTTCTTAAGCCTATAACAAGATTATACTTTTGTCGTCATTGTTTAGAATTAAGGTGTGGATTCTGCGTTTGTCATGAGGTAACCCAAATAATTTTTTCTTAATTATTACAAAATATACAAATTAACTGTAAACTAGGTGGATTCTAATTACTGCGGTAAGTGCTGTGAGAATTTACCGTCAGCAGAAGCAAGATTAAAGAAGAATAGGTGTGGTGATTGTTACGATTGTCCCAGTTGCAAACAAAATTTGTCTAAACGAGCAGCCACGGTTGGTCCAAAAAATCCCGAGGACCCAAAAGCAACACCTCGTAAAGTTTATTATTTGCTTTGCTTAAATTGTCGGTGGAGTTCGAGAGACGTTGGAATACCAGACCAAGCTGCAGGTATGTAGGTACTTCTGTTTGATGTTTATGTACCTTGATATGTACTAGTATTTTACTAAGCTACTGGCAGTTGGCCTGAAAGGGAAAATGTTCATGCTGCAAGGCTACAAGAAATCATTGAGATGTATAAAGGTATTGTTTTGGCTGAAAAACAGCAAAAAATGGAGAAAGACAAGAAGAAACAGAGACGATTTATGACATTTACAGTTAGTAATTTGTTTAGATTTTCTGATATTGGCATAATAATTAAATATTGCAGGATAGAACAGGAATAACAGCCTCTATGTTAAGAAAGCGTATTGGATTGCCCGATATTCCTCATCCCCTTCTAAAACCAAAACCTAAAGAACCTGAAGAAGCAGTTGCTAAAGAAGAAGTTGAAGAGTTTCCTGAAGAGCTGTTAACAAAACCCATAAACCTCAATGAAAGTATGACACTTTTTGTAAAAAATTATAATTTTTAGTGGAAAGAAAATTAAAAATTGATCAAAACCAACCAATACATACTTTTTGTGTGATGCTTATATAAATTAATTTGACATTTTTAGTTACTACCCTTGAACAGAGGCTTAATTTACCTGAATGGCAGCCAACAACCGTTGATAAACTATTCCCTATTCATAAACAAGTATCAGTCAAAAGATCACAAAGATGCAGGGCATGTGAACACAACGTTAGCAAACCTGAGTATAGCCCAACATCGATTAAATTCAAAATTCAACTTTTTGCTTTGTAAGTATTTACATTTATATTACACTATTTTGCTTAATATTTGATTATTTTTTATTTCGTTTTCAGTTATCATATTCCTGAAGTAAGAATTTTTACTGTTGAACCTCTAAGGGCAGGTAAACAATGTGAACTTCTTTTGAAGTTTTCTAATCCGACTCAACATCAAACAGTTATTACATTTTTACCACTTTTCCCTTCTGAAGATTCTTTTGCTTCTAAAGAAATTAAAGAACTTGTGCCTGATGAAGAAGTACCTTCTAGGGAGATAGTGATAGAAGAGGTATATTATTTAAATATATACATATATGTATAACACTTCATCCATTTATCTTTTATAATTGTTTTCATTTCTCTCTGTATTAAATTTCTTTTATATATTTTAGAAACAGCCCCCATCTTTACCGGGCAGTCAACCTAGTAGTCTTTTGCATACATCTTTATCTCGTACCCCATCAATTACTGTTAAACCTCGTCCTATTAAGCAAGCTATTACAGCAAATGTAGAATTGCCTACAAGTAATTTTGTGTTGTTGCCAAGAGACGATGCTGCGGAATTTGATGACTCTGGAGATACTCATAATATACAAGATGACACGAAGTAAGTATAAAAATATACAGGGTGATTAGTAATTCAAAATAATACTTTATAGAAAGTCACTGTGCAATAAATTAAAACGTGTTCTTTCCTAGTCTTACTAAAACATTTAATTTTTTTAAGACTTGTAGTTTGGAGAAAATCAAATAAAGCTGTTATCAGATTGAATATTACACCTTTAGAGAATTTAAACATTGGAGATGAAGTTGTTGTTGGTTTTACAATGCAACATATTTATGTGAATACAATAACAGCCGTAGAAAGTAAAGAACCCCAACGGTATAATAATAATGTTAAGGTTTTTCAATATTTAGGAAAAATTGTAGGCTCAGAATAAAATATTTAATTACCAGGTAATTAATTCAAATAGTGTATCTTATTATTGTCTTTTGTACTGCAGCATGCTTAACATTCATTTTAAATTATAATACTTTTACATAATTTGTACTTCTTTTTCTACATATATTCTTGCATCAAATAAATATTTATTGCTTATAAAAATGTATAAACCTTTATTCCCAGAGTGTAAAACGGAGATGGTGGTAAATGAATAAATAAACTAAAAAAAGAGACTCATCCTAGTTACCACTAAATCTTGTCCCTGTAGACGATTCAGTATCAAATTGAAAAGGCGCCCAGAAGCTGTTTTTTTTTTTTTTTGAGTACATGTATTTAAATAGGACTCGCAATTTAGCTAGTTACAGTCCTACAATACAACGCATAAACTTGTTAAATTAAGAACAAATGTGAATAATTCTCGAAATTTATGAATGAATTTGATAATATAAGAATGCGGGACGTTTGACGATGGAAGTTTTGTGGAACCCTTTTATTTATTATTGTAATGTGGGATTACAGATGCCATTACGGACGATTCCGCATTGCGGAACGATTGACCGCCTTATAGTTTTTTCAGCATATTTCGATATGTTTTAAAACTGAGAATTGAGTGTTGCCCCAGCATTGTAGAAGTGAATAGTAAGCATCTGATATTATGGACATATGATTTAAATACCAGTATCCATGCGAATTAATTTTTAACCATATAATTAAATTGGGTCATTTTTGAAGACTCTAAAATCCGGATGTATTGAAGATAATTTTTTCTTTCACTGCAAAGTTTGTTAGGTGTTCTTTTACTTTGAACGCAGCTACGTTTCTTGTCTATGATCTAACATTAGAGTAATATTTATCTATGGATTGAATATAATCTTGTCTATGATATAATTCGATATACTCTATGGATATAACGTAACAAATCTAGCCTAGGTTAGAATCATAGATTAAAGAAAAATATATTGTCAGGTTAGAATGTCATTTCAAGTTCCAAACAAAATATTAATAAGAACGTTGCTTTTGAATACGAAACCAAAATAAGTAGACACGGAAAAAGAGAAACCAATAAATATCAGGATTGGCTCCTGCATTATATGTATAAACATACGAATTTAAAAACTTAATGAAGATCTAACCAACAAAATATTTTAGAAAAGTTATTTATACCTAGCAGCATCTACAAGTTAAATATATCTAAATAATTTGGGGAAACAGCTTCAAATAAGAGCAGAAAAGTTATTCGTTTAATTTTAAATTAAATTATAAAATGCCACCCGTAGAAGAAACAATGCTAAAAGCAGTTGAAGAGACTGGGATAATTAGTTTAGAATTTGATGGTTGTGTGCAATCTGTAAAAGATAAACATTATGATTCGAACCATTTAATGAAGCATATCAATAAAAAATTCAGATGTTATATTTGTTTAGAGGAATTCGAATCTAAAACATGTTTGACAGAACATGCATGTACTAACAAAGAACTAACTAAACAGAGAGGAGAAGAGTTTCGGTGTCATATTTGTCTGAGACCATATTTATTTGAAGAAACACTATCTAGGCATATAATAACATGTCATCCGGAAATTATTAAAATCAAAAGAGAGTTCAAATGCAACATTTGTTTGAGAACATTAAGTGATAGAGCATGCCTTACTAAACATATTCGTACTCACTTGAAAGAAAGAAAAATGAAAATTATAAACATTAAGACAAAATCAAACGAAAAAGTACCACTAGAATGCTACATTTGCTCCCGAATATTGACAACTACTGCAGGATTATCCAAGCATTTGTACAAACATATGAAAATGTCTGGCAGTGGCTTGATTGAAAAACAACTTTTGGGAAATTCGGACTCGGACTTTATGCCATTTGAATGCAAAATATGTGAAAGAAAATTTAGTAAAAAAAACAGCTTTTATAAACACCTTCAAAGAACTCATCTACGTGATTGGTCATATCAGTGTACACTTTGTAAGAAATGTTTTGCTGATGTGATATCCTTCAGAATACATTACAAATCATCCCATAATAACGTACGCGATTGACAGAGAATTGACTTCATTAACGAACTTAAATTAATATATGTAAAATTGGAAAGATTGGCGCTACAACAGTGTAGTCCACAGTATAGGATATAGTAATATATAGTGTCCTGTACATAGAAATAATCTTATAAATATCTTATTTGTATTGTTTGATTAATTTTGTGATTACTTTTGTTTTTATATTTAATTATGTTGTATTTTAACTCCCAACTGTATTTCCTTAAAATTTAAAATCAAATAGAAACATAAATTTTTCTTCTCTCATTCCATTTGCGAGTGGCCATTCGTTGTGATTCCTATCAATTACAAATGTTTTTTACTCTACAATGAACGTACGTCGCGTTGGTCTTTGTCATACAAATTTAAATGGGTTTGAAAAAGGCGAAATATGGGCGTCCAAATTTAAACATTTGTTAAATTTGTTAAAACGGACCCAAAATTATGAATAATCTCTGAATTCTTCAAAACCACATTTTCGTCAAAATTTTGATACATTTACCTGTCGAGTGTATATCAAAGAAATTGAAATTAGCCAAAATTTCCGCGCCCAAATTTGAAAATAGGTTAAAAAGGAATCTAAAGTATAAACGGTTTTCTTCGATTTCTTAAATACACATTTTCGTCGAAACATGTCACCGTTACGATACCCAACAACGTTTGTTTCTTAGAAATTTAAATGAGTGAATCACAGCATCAAAACACTGAAAATGGAATAAAAAAGTACCCGAAATTATTAACAACTTCCTACGAATTCGCAAAAACATGTCATCTTACGACACCCAACCGTCCTTAACAATATCACAAATTTTTTTTCCGTCCAAAACTGATGATTGGTTAAAACGGACTCGAAATTATGAATCATTTTCATACGATTTCGCAAATATACATTTTTACTGTCACCTTACGACACACCTTCCCGCGCGTGTATCACATAGGTAAGTGTAAATTAACTTATATCACTGTAAAAAATGAAATTTTGTGTATCCTATTTTGAAATTTCGTTAAAAAGCACCCGAAATTGTGATCGTTTCCTACGATTTTGCAAAAACACATGTCATCTTACGAACTCACTGGGCACTATAGTATATCCTACTAATTTAAATTCACTGGAACAGCTGAAAAGGGCGGAATTTTGTCAACCAAAAATGCCAGTTGGTTAATAAGGATCCGAAATTATGAATCATTTTCCTGTGATTTCACAAAAACACATTTTCATTAAAAACTTGTCACCTTACGACACACCTTACCGCGCGTGTATCACATAAGTGTAAATTGACTTATATCACTGTAAAAAATGAAATTTTGTGCATCCTATTTTAAAATTTGATTAAAAAGTATCCGAAATTGTGAATCCTTTCCTACGATCTTGCAAAAAACACACGTCATCTTACGACACTCAGCCACGCTTAAGTATATCCTATAAATTTAAATTCACTTGAACAACTGAAAAGGGCAAACTTTTGACCGCCCAAAATGCCAGTTGGTTAATAAGGACCCGAAATAATGAACCATTTTCCTGTGATTTCGTAAAAACACATTTTCATTAAAAAACATGTCACCTTACGACACACCTTGCCGCGCGTATATCACATAAGCTTAAATTGGCTTATATTACTGTAAAAAACGAAATTTTGAAATTTGGTCAGAAAGTACCCGAAATTGTGAATTATTTCCTACGATTTCCCAAAGACACATATCATCTTACGACACGCAACCACGCTTAAGTATATTATTCAAATTTAAATTCACTTGAACAACTGAACCGAATTGTGTTCGCTCAAAAATGACAATTGGTTAGAAAGGGCCCGAAATTATGAATTATTTTCCTACAATTTTCAGAAACACATTTTCGTCACCTTACAACACACCTTGCCTCATGTGTATCATACAAATTTGAATTGGCTTATATCACATTAAAAAATGAAATTTTTTGCACCCTAATTTGAAATTTGTTTAAAAAGGACCCGAAATTATGAACTATTTCGTGAAAAACACATTTTCGTCATAACACATGTCATCTTACGACACACTGTCGCGCTTCTATCACATAAATTAAATTGTCTTGAACCACCGAAAATAACAAAATCATGGGCGCCCAAATATAAAAGTTGTTTAAAAAAGACCCCAAATTTTTAATAATTTTCTACGATTTCGCAAAAACACATTTTCATTAAAATACACGTTACTGCAGACAAATTGAAATTGCCTTGAACAACTGAAAAGAACTACATATTGCGCGCCCAAACATGAATATTAGTTAAAAAGGACTCGAAATTATGAATCAAAAAAGGCAATAGTAATCGAAAACAGGCGTTTTTATATTTCGAAATTATTAATTAATGAAACAGAAAAGAGAGATACGAAGGCATCCATTATTTTAAATATTCATACATATTTCAAATAAACCACATCACTGATGCATATTACGCATTTTGTTCAAATATATCCAGTAATCCAAATCGACTTAATAATTTGATTATCTACAATATTAAACAAACCAGTAAAAATTCCTGTGAGAACAACCAGAAATGTTTAATTGTGAGTAATTGTACTAATTACAAACATATACAGACATACTTAATCGTACAGGACAATTAAATAATAGCGTACAGGTAAAATGCGTACCGATGTGTACGTAAACTTAATGAACTTCGTGTTTGTCGGTCTTTTGTAATAAAACAGAAGCTATAAGTGAAAAATCAACCATCCAGCGAGCTCAGTCAGCTCGTCGTCTGTCGCTGAACTTTGTATGGTATCTTTTACACTCTTTTATGGGCACATTATGATTAGGAGAAGGTCAGAAGACGTTCTTTGTTTGTGTCTTAGCACGAGCCAACCGGTTTTAGAATAAAGAAAACACAACTAAAGAGTATTATGGGTAACATTAAACTTTGAGGAACCACCATCGACGAGAACTTGTTCTTCCAGACACGTACCATCGTCCATGAGAGAATAAGAGGCACACACATACAAACAACAAAGATTTTGTACCAAAATATTGTTAGAATATAGGCATACTACTACATATTTAACTAGATGNTAATAATTTGATTATCTACAATATTAAACAAACCAGTAAAAATTCCTG